ACCGTTAAAGTCGAGCCTCAAAAAAAGGAAACAAAGACTTTCTTTCTTTCTTGTCTTTCTTCCTTCCTTTCTCCCACTCTGCATTAATACTGTTGTTCGGTTGCTCTGGTGACAGTTAATGGCGGCTGGTTTGTGTCGGACACGCTGCGCATTTTAACTGCAGAGAGATACCGTGAGAGGAGGGCAGGAATACAAGATGGAAAGAGGGGAGAAAATGGGAAAAACAGCTAATTGACATGTTGAAGAATGCTGCTTGAGAAACGGGAACATGTGGGTGTTTATCCTGAACTGAGGATGACGAAAGAGTCGAAAGAAAGGGACTTAAAGGCGGAGAAAAGAGATGAAAAAGCGCTGACATTATGAATGCTGGCTGGATGAACCTGTCTGTGTCTGGTTGGCTTGCATAACAGGTACAGACTGTTCCCGTCACCACTGCTGCTCTTTATCCCCGTCATCCCTCTTTATCCCTCGTTTTCTCTCTTTCTTTCCCCACCTGCTGCTAGAGGAGTACTTTCTGGACAGGAAAGTCCTCTGAAAGTAACTGGATTACATTTTGAGGTAAATTTCCTCACTCAGCCCCCCCCCCTTACCTCCTCTGTTCTTTCAGACAGAGTGGGGGGAGAAAAACAGAAAGAGAAAGAGCAACGACAAACTTCTGTCTTTCTCATTAAACTCTGAGTGAACCTAACTGTGGGTTGGCCTGTTTGAGCAGGGGGAAAGGTAGCTGTAGCACTTTTCACACTGACAGTTTTTCAGATAACACATTTCTGGACCTACATTATATGGTGTCAAAGTACTATTCACATCTTTTTTTTTGTGCTCACCATCATAGTAACAAAACCGTCATTTCAGGAAAACACACATTCACCTTCTCGCTGAGATATATATTACCCTCAATGTGAAGCCACCGCCAGCAGCCGATTAGCTTAGCTTAGCATAAAGCCTTGAATCAGGGGAACAGTTTACCAGCGGAGACTCCAGGAAGTCACTGTGCCTGGTTAAGAAATAATCCTGCACATAGTCAACCCATTAAACCACAACATGCTTTGTATCAGCTAAGGGGTCCTTGGCCTCAAAAACATTGCCGTTGTAGGTATGGTAGGTTAATTTAACTCAACAGTATCTCATAATGGTTCAGATGCAGTTTCTAACCATTTTCTGCCTTAAACACCAGCAGAGTCACAAGAGTGTAGACTAGATTAAGAACACTAATTTGGTACAGCCCTCTAAACTCGAAGTGGTTAAAACTTTGTTCCTCTGTTACCAAAGGCTCTTCTGTTCTTTCTGTCACCTCCTTCCTTCTTCACATTTCTCTCCTCATCTGCTTTGACCTTTCACACATCTGCAGAACAGCTCAACTGGCTGCCTGATAGCCCATGGATGTGTGTGTGTGTGTGCATGTGTGTGACAGCTATAGGCGAGCGTGTGAGAGTAATCTACAGACAGGTCTGCTGCTGTCAAGTTTGTTCAGTTTACACTATATCAGTTCGGGACTATGTGTCTAACTAAGTTCCACCACTGCTGCCATATCAATTTGTATGCATTCCTGTGTGATTATGTGTGTGTGTGTGTGTGTGTGTGTGTGTGTGTGTGCCGAAGGTTGGTAGCTTCATACTGAAAGCATATACGAGACCTCACTTCATAGTTTCAGATCAACTTCTGTGAGTTTTCTCTGTTTTTTGGAGAAATGTTAAGTCAGTAGGGAGCCCTTTAATGTTTTGCTGCAGGACACATGACACAAAGAGAACAAAATAAGTGTGGATTGATAGATAAATGCTGAAACTGGAGACAGAAAAAGCCTCGTCAATGACAACTCAACTTGCTTGTGTTGGCGTGCTTGTGTGTGTACTGTTTCTAGCCACATCTCGCTATCTTTGGCCAGATGAGCTTTATCTGCAGGTCTGAGGTCTCTGCATTTCTGCATGTAGACACCACACACACACACACCAACACACACAATCTTCGACTATTATCATGTCAGTCACAGTGTATCTCAACATTGTATGTCAGTCTCCTTCCCGTCAAGGTCTCTCCCGCTCTGTTTTTAAGGTCATGTCAGACTTACTGAAAGAGAACAGGATCAGTCCAGCAACAAGAGGCACTGAAACTCTGCTTCACACTAACAGGTGCTTTTTGTGGAGGCTGGACTGTTTTTAGATGCTGGGCAGCAGTTCAAAACTTTGCACACACAGTTACAAATAGATGCGCGAACTGAAGACAAAGCGAGTTCTAAAAGTTTCAATGTGAGCAAAAAATTACCACATATCCCTGAGCTTTATGAATCTGCTTCATAAACGTACAGAGAGGAGAGGAAGAACAAGTAGAAAGACTTGAGGGGAATAAGAGAAAGACTGCAGTTCTTTCTCTTTGTGGTTCTGCGTTCAGTTAGAGGCTAAGCTGAGCAACAACAAACAGGCAGACACACCCACAGCACGTCCGTTTACTAGCTAGCTTACAGGTAGCGTCTGTTCAGGTGGTGCATTGGCGGTTGGAGACAAATAAACCCAAATGGTCCAAAAGTGAATTTTGCATTGTTGCAAATTCACATAGCTTCCTGCCTGAACACACCTTCAGACTTACATAAGTTGACTGTTTCACCACTTAGGGGCAGTGAAACAACACTGACATATCACCACTTTATAAAGCTCATATGACCAGTTGGCCTATTTACACATACAGCAATTGAAATGTGCTCTATATTGGTCTGCACCGACTGCAGGGGCTCTTTAGCTGCTAAGCGCTCCACTATACACACACGCTATTCGCAAACTTTGTCAGACCCGCATTCGGTGCTCTGCAGGTCGCGTACAATGGGTGTATCAGAGCACTGAAAACAGATGCCCGCTGCTTGAAGCGTGATTGAGGAGAGCAGTGAGAGTGAACCACAACAGTGAAGTTGTGGGCTGCAAAACCAAAACAACAAGCTAAAAGAACAACAAATGGATTTTGTCTAAAGTTCCTAATAGCTTCTTGTCTTTAGGAGCCATGACGTTGAAAGTATTTTTTTTTAACAGCAAATGTAAAAAAAATTATATTTGTCAAGACCTGGAAACTCATCACTTTCAATGCAGACCAGGAAGACTTTTTTTCTAATCTTTTGAGGATTTCGCACCTGTCAGCTGAATGTGTGTGCATGAAACATTCTCGAGCTGAAACTCAGCTGCATTTCCTCATTCTGTTTTAAGATTGCGGTACACAGAATATGAGGCCTTTTCTCTTGCGCACATCTGAGGAGGATTCGTATGTTCCCCCTTCAGGAACACCTGAAACTGTCCGGTTTCCGCTCGTCTGTGAATCTGCAGACCACCAGAAGTTATTTTTAGCTGTGCGTGGGCCAACCCATTCAGTCACGTGTGTCTGAAAGAAAGTTTCATTCACTCTCGCCTCTCACCGCTATCTGAAGGAAATTACATTTTCTCATTCAGATTGTGGCCCCATGACCTCAAAAAAAAAGGGGGACGCCTGTGCAAAAGTCTGCTGAATGCATGTATAAATGTGAAGTGAGACAATGAAGAGATTTTTTTATTGTTTTTCAGGAAGTGTCAGTGACCCTAGGTTCATAATTCCACCCGTGATTGGAGCCAGTTTTCACTATGTTTTCTGTTCACAATCTTGTCTCAGATTTCCAGACTTTTTCTAGACCTGCGTAGGAGTACAGACCTTTCAGATTTCTGCCAGTAGGATTCTAGTTCAGGTCCTGCAGCCTCCTGACTTCACCTCCTCACTTCCTCCTTGCAAAGATGCACTTCCTCTTTCTGTTCTCACCCAGCTCTGTTTGTGAGGGACTTGATTATTCTCTGTCTGGAACCTGTATATGAATTGTGACTCTTGTGTGAGTTCCTGCTCTGTTCGGCTGTGTGTATGTTAGAGTCCTGTGTCGTCGGTTTGTGAGATGGATAGAGAGTCTGGCTGAGGTTCTTCTCTTCTGCAGATTTCAGTAAATCAAATGGAACATTGAGATAAAGCAGGAAGTCACAGCGCTAATATTATCCTGACTCAGATATAGAAACTGATGAGACACAGAAGAAATACTATTGCACTTTTAGCCAGGCAGACCACAAGTTATTTTTTAATATCAGAATGGAAATCTTTTTTTTTTTTCTAACTTTCGGAAAGGGCAAATTTTTGTGTTAGACTGCATCAGATGCTACAGGTTTCAAGAAACAGGAAGCCAAGAAACTTCTGAACAAAAATACAGAACTTAGCCAAAATGGAACCATAACAGAAGAGTGTCCTGTCCACACAGCATGTATTCACTGTCTGCAGCATTAGACAAAACGGTGCAGTGAAAGGTCACCTCTCCACCCCTCAGGAAGTGATGAATCAAAACGTAAAAAGTAGGAGACAAACTGTCTCCTGTACAGTGGTGTGTGATCACTCTGTCTACACTCAGCAACGGTGCATCTCACAAATGTCTAGACTTTTTTCTGCGGGCATCACCTCATACGACCTTTTGGGTTAAAGCAGTTAGGATTAAAAGTTTTAATCTTTTGACCATTAGACCCATGCACTATATCAGAGTCTCATCCAGTCCTAGCAGCAGACAAAAGCAACTGTGCAGGTATTTCATTCTTCCTTTTCTCTCTCATTCTCTGCTAATTATTCATATAAAAGCATATTGTTACTTTATTTTAATGACGCTGTTGGGCTAAATATCAGTCGATGAAATGCTGTGAGGGGCTGCTGCACCTGTTTGATCTTTATGCAAGATTCACAACATTGCTTCTTTGCATTATCTTCCTGGAGCAATTTCTACCGTCCCAGTTCACCTAACAACCATTGCTAATATATGAATGAGGTTAAAGGAGTTTAAAGGCGCAGATTACGACAAACTGAATGCCCCTCCCCTGACCCCTCCCTTTCCAAGCGTTTGGGAGAATCTATGGTGGCCCTCAGGTAACGTAAAATCGTGAAAGGCCCTGTCTAAAGCCATTGTTTGGTTTGTCTGTTCTTGGCTACTGTAGAAACATGGTGGCTCAACATGATGGACTTGCTCCTTCTGTAGACAACGATTTCTTGAAAAACATACCTATTAATATTATATCCCATTTGTGCCAATAGATCCTCCTAAATGTTACACACTGGACCTTTAACTCATGAAACTGTTACGCAAAGAGGCAACAAGCAGGGATTAACAACCTGCTGACACAATTTCCGCAATCTGCAGAATAAAAAATAGATGAGATAAGGTTTCCCAACAATTTTGATTTGCTTGTAGTTGGACTGTGCCTGTCGGTGGAAGTTCTACATAGTGCAAGCACTGCGCAGGCGAACCAGTGGGTGTTAAAGGTGGTTAGATGACCTCTTTTCAAAGTAAAGTTATGTCAAGCTACTTTACAGAAGTTACAGAACAGTTACCACAATAAATCTCCAACCAAAATCTACACTTTATTAACCCACAGTTATTAGACATTGTTAAAATACAAATCTGAGAGAAAGTCAATAAATATGTCTATAAATATATTTATACATGGACAAGATCGAAGATCCTGAAATGACTGAACTGCTGAAATATCAATTTACAGAGTGAATGAGTCAGTTTCCTTTTGAAACAACAGACAGAACATGAAAGCTGAACAGGAACATGAGGAAGTTAACACTATGCGATAAAGATGTTTGTGTGGTGGAATAAAAACAACAACGAACAAAGAACTGCTACGGGTCAAAAACGTCTTGACACCTCTCCTGACTAGCGAGAGCCTTCCGTTACATTCAACACTGAATGAATTTACAAACACAAATAGGGACACTTTTGTTGCTCATAGCCCATTAATCTCTAACAGTTGTGACATTTAATGAGGAGTGTGACTGATACGCTGCAGGGTCAAACAGGGGAACTTTGGCTCCAGCCTTTTGACCTTTCTGCGGACAGAGAGGCTGCTGTTGTTCTATTTGAACAAATTTTTTGAAACTCACACACATTGACTCAACTTCCCTGAGTGCGCGAGGACTCAACAGACACTATAGAGTGAGAGAGGAGAGTGGGTAAAATGTCAGTGGGTAGTTTCGGAGGTCCGGTCAAATTCTCTTCGGGGACAATAGGATCGTTGTGGATGTAATTTGTGAATGCGGAAGTCCTGTGACATCACAATGTCATGAAGACATTTGCCACCGGGGCAGTGGCTATAATGTTATAAGGTTCAACAAGGGGGTGGAATGGCGGGAGACTGATTAAGCGGTGTGTGTGTGTGTGTGTGTGTGTGTGTGTGTGTGTGTGTGGATGAGGAATACATTAATAATAGTGACGGTGGATGTGTCTGACTGACCAATGTGTGCGTATGAGCACGAATCATCAATTAAATGTGTGTGAATGTAACAGTGATGTCACTGCATGGACTCGAGTCAACCCCTCAAACACACGGCGGAAGATTTTTCTTCATCGCAAACCTTCTCAGTGTGTCACATTCAATATTTTAGAGAGCTTACTGCAGTTTTATTGCAGTCTCTGTGCTCCTTCCATCCACCACAGACCCCCCTCACGCTGCCTTTCAACCCCCGGAGAGAGAGGGAGCTGCGGGGGTGAAGGAGTGCAGAGAGGCCCCTCTGTCTGCTGCTTTATTCTCTGTCTCATTAAAACAGTGAAGCTGTGTTCAGACTGGGGCTTAAGGGCAAAATGGAAATGGAATGTGCATATGTGTGTTTGTCTATAAGTCACTGTACTACTATAGCCGCAATATGTCTGCTTTATTATGCCTGAATCATAATTTTAAAGCTGGTTTCTGGCTTTCAACCGTTCATGTGTGCTAGTGGGTGCGCTGTGACATGCAGACAAGGCTTTTTATACACCCTTTAATCACCCTCTGATCTCCCTCGCCGCCCACCTTTTGCTCTTTTTGTCATTTCTTATAACTTTCTCTTCCTTCCCTCCATTTTGCGACTCTTCCAGGCCTCCATTGTCCTGCTGTTTCCCTTCTTTTCATCTTTCCTTGTGCTTTTTCATTGTTCACGGTGTGTGATTTGGACGTTTTGCTGCCTCAGCAATGTGCAGATGGCAGCAAGTTGAAACTTTCCTTTCTCACAAACACACACACACACACACACACACACACGCGCGCTCATGCACAGAGGCTTGTTAAATTCAGCTAATACGGTTGGTGTGGTGAGAAAAAATAGAGACGAACTCAAGTATCAAAAGAAGCTGTAACCACACAGAGTGCAGCACAGAGTAGTGTGTGTGTTGTGTATGCCCTCCTTTACAAAGTCTTCAAAGCCTTTATGAGCTGCTTAATTACTCACAAACTTACAATGGACACAGAATGTGTGTGTTTATGTGTGTGTGCTGAATAAGCTATCTTATAGCTCACTGTAAAGCACTTTTGAAGTTGACAGGACAGGATACTGAAAGAAGTGTGTGTGATAAATGTTCAGGATGCACTGCACCACCTCTCTCTCTCTCTCTGTCACCTCCCTGTCACTCTATTGTTCCCTTGGCCCACTTTTCTCATCCCACCCTCCTGCGTTCTTACTGTATTACCATGGAAACATCATCATTGTCACCGTCCTGACGCGTAGGGGCCGGGGCCCGGCGACCTCCACCACTGCTGCTGCTGAGGAGCGTCAGTGCCGGACGAGAGGCCTTAGCAGGAGGAGGTGCCATGGAGGAAGAGGAGGACGAGTGGGAGGAGGAAGAGGGGAAGGGAGCCACAGTGGCCCTGACCTTGCTGTTCGTTCCCAGTTGGCGACCCTGGCTTTGTGGCTGAGTGGAGAAAACACACGACTTATATCACTTATATATGACTTATATATTCAAAGTTTTCATTTAATGCTACTTTAACTTAAACAACAAGATAATACAGTCTGAGCTGTCACGTCTTGCATGCACTTGATTGATAAGAAAGGCGAGAAAAGAAAGAGTGAGATAAAAGGGAGGAAGAGGAGGAGACTCTGGAGGAGGTGGAACAAAAGAGAGATAAAGAGTCAGAGAGGAAAAGGTGAGAGGAGGAAGACATTAACAGTGCAAATACAAACATTATGTTAAGAGCTAAGAGTTAAGTTCCACCGTGGTGAATAAAAAGACAAGGAACCGAACAAAACAAAAGCGGAGCGTTTTGCCGCTGAAGAGAAATATTTGCATGTCAGCAGCCTTATCAACCCAGATGAGTCACACTGCCAACAGCTACACACTCTCAGGTCACAGCCGGCCTCAGTCCATGTAACAAAATAACATGGAGGGATGTTAGGGTCTTTCAAAGCGAGACGCCGTCTGTTATACTTAAAGTTATGAGACGTGTTCTCTGCCTGCACAGTAGCCATTTACAGTACATTTTGAAATTTAATGAACAATACTAGCTGACACATTTCCAGTAGATTAATTGTTACCAGACTTCTGGAAAAGCACCTTTTTTATACTGAGGATTTTGGTATCAAATGCACATTAGTCTAAACCTTTAAGATGATCCTTTTGTGACAGCTAGTTTTATCAGAGTTTATGACTCACTGTAAAGACTATAAAATAAAACAATAAAATTACACATTAACATTATCTGTTCCTGTTTAAAAACACATTCAATAGGACTTGGAGAGATAATCTAATCTCTTCCTGTGTTAACATTTTAGTTTTAGTTAACTTAGAGTCTACTACATTTATATAAACTTCTACATAAACAACATAATGAGCAAAACATTGTTAAATATGAACTGGTTCAACAAACCAGTGTGACCTACATGAAACCAGTGTGTGGCTCTTTGTAATGTGTCAGATGTCTTTGACTTTTAAAGAAGTTCACCAAAGAGACTCAACCGAAGACTTTCCCCAATAAACTTATCACATGGTTTCATCTAAATGACTGTTCACAAAGTCCTCAGATTTACATTTGACCCATTGGCTCGACCTCTAGGTTTGGAACCATTAGTACTGAACTGTATATAAAGTAAGACTAACTCCACCTTGAGCAGCTACAACAGTACCATACTGCTGCTTACACACAATGCATCAGTATGAATAATCAAATGTATTATATTATAACAGTCCCAGGGGAGATTTCTGAAAAACGAGTACTTGTAATAGTAAAGTTAGCCTGTACTTTTACTTTAAGTAGGATTTTAAATGCAGGATTTTGCATTGTAATGGAGTATTTTCTTTACTTTTACTTAGATAAAGAACCTGGGTACTTCTTCCATCACTGGTTAAGGTCCTGTCTGCCAGTGCTGCCATCTATTGAGTAAATACGGAAGTGAGAAGTTAAGAGGAAGTTGTTTAGTAAAGCACATGAATAATAATATAATGAAGTGGAAAAAATATTCTTCCTGCTTTGTCCTGTCAAACTGCACGACTCATATTGTCAACTTCCCTCGTGTCATAATCATTGTGCTCATTTATACGAGCAGCACACTGTGACGTTATACCACCATAAAGATGTTGTGTTTACCTGCCGAGGCTGTCTGCTGCCTGTGGTTTTAGGGCCCTCTAGTGGCTGTGACTGGTCTCTGTGGGCAGCGGCTGGCTGCAACCTGGAATCAACCATCATCAAAGACATGTCCTTATAATCATTATCTGAAATCTTACATTATCACAATCATTGTCATCCTCATTTATATTGTCTTCACAGTCTTGTGGCGGCAATAGAAGTCTTTCAGCATCCTGGCAGATCTATATTTTTCATATGTTTTCAGTCTATGTATAATTTTGTCATATGCTGTTCAGATTGAGGCCAATTTATAATATTAACTTTACTGTAATCATCATGCTTTGTTAAGTCATTATATTCACATAGAGTTTCATCATCCTACATTTTTCTTTCTTACATCATTGACCACTACATCCATTACTTATCTTAATCATAAATACATCACCACACCACTCCCCTCTGACCTGTATGGGTATCGTGGCTGTGACAGCAGGCCTCTGCTCCTGAGGTGCTGGTACAGGTTACTGCTCAGAGAAAGAGGGCTGAACACAAACTCCTCATCCAGCTGAGTGAGACAGCCCTGACAGAGAAACAGACAGAAAACAAACATCATTCCAGTATCATTTGAATGTCTGAACGTCTGTGTGTGGGTTGGTTTTTTTGCAAATAAAATCATTGAACTCAATGTCAAGGAGCTAGGCACATAAAGCTAGTGCCAGTTTGAAAATTGAATGGTAAGCACAGCCTGTTGAAAATATACGTGATACTTAGTATCTTGATTAGAATTAAAACTTAAAATAATTTTCCACCTTCAGACATAAAATAAATACAATTCATACTAATCAAACATTGTGAATTAGTGGTGTATCAATTTATGTTCAATATAGCAATGGGATAAATTATGCCATAATATATAGTCAACAATAATACAGATTTTTGGGGATGATAACTACAGTATAACTCGTGTTTCCTATTAAATTACACTGTTTCAATGGATATTCTCACATGCCTACTACATATGTGTACTGTATTTGAATTTGTCATTATAACTGCATATATCTATATATTTATACATATGTGTGTATATATATGTTTAGATGAGGGCTGAGGTTTATCTTTTTTTATGTAATTCAGATGAAATGTTCTATCCGATCCATCGACCAGATTCTTCTTCAGAGAAACCTTCATTTATCTAAGCACTTAATAACTGAACCTGCAGATTTTCTTCAGTCTTATATTTCATCAGATATATGACATTGTTACTGCAGGGTAGATGGGTAAATGGACTGCACTTATGTAGAGCCTTTCTAGTCTTCCGACTAGACACCTCAAAGCCTTTCACACTACATGTCACATTCCTACACTGATGCAGCATACATGGTGCCAACTGCTCATCAGAAATACACACACACACACACACACACACACACACACACACACACACACACACACACACACACACACACACACACACACATTTATACACCAATGGCACAGCATCTGGAGCGATTTGGAATTGTTTTGAAGGTGTTTTGAAGGTTTGAGTTCTGGGTGCCTCTGTCTAACCTGTATAGTCTGCATGGTTTCTGGTGCAGGTTCCTGAGTTGGGACAGGCAGTGAGCAGGGCAGCAGCAACTCTCTGGAGACCACAGGCTTCAAAAGAAGGGAGAGAGACTGGGATGGCTGGAGGACGTAGTGAGAATACACACCTGTGTTGTACACAAACACATATACATACATGGGACATAAGAGTGCTTTAATGACAACTGATCAATTCTTTCTCTCTTTCTGTCTCTCACTCACACACACACACACACACAACACACACACACACACACACACACACAACACACACAGACAGACAGACAGACAGACAGACAGACAGACACAGACACACACACACACACACACACACACACACACGGACCTGAACCTCCAGTTGTAGACCTCTGTGCGGGCTCCACCTGCAGCAGCAGGAACAGGTCACGACTCTGAAAGAGGGAAAAATGTAACATCAGTCCGTTTCATTCATTTGTATCGCATATAGGGAGACTGAGAATGTTACAAAGTGCAAAAAGTAACCCGAAAGAGTCAATCAGAGGGTTTAGCAGTTGAGCATAAGAGGAAGAAGAGAGTAATTATTTTGTCACTCAAACCTGATCTATAATAAACTTTCAGAAAATGAATGTAAAGCTGTCTGATTATGATCTTTTATTTTTGGAAAATAATTATAATACGCTCTGTGGCACGAATGTGTGGACAGTAAACAATTACATTTGTTTGCTCTTAAAGGAAATGTTAAAATGTAAAAATGAACCTGATTTGAATAATGTAAACACACCCTATAATGATCATATATGATTGTCCTGTTTCTGTTGATCTAACATGTCTAATTTGTGAGATGAACAAACAGTAAACACATTCACACACCCTGAGTGTGTGGCAGAGAGCATGGAACAAGTTGTGGTTGGTCTCCATTTCATCCCAGTCCAGCTGCCAGCAGGTGGTGGGGCGGATCACCAGCGGCAGGCCGTACAACACACTCTCACACACTCCATCTGCATGCAGAATTCTACAGCACACACACACACACACACACACACACACACACACACACACACACACACACACACACACACACACACACACACACACACACACACACACACACACACACACACACAAACTTGGTTAGCATGCAAACCCAAAATGAAGGACACACATGATGATATATGTTTTTCCCCACAGCAACTGTCTTGTTGCATTCAACTGTCTCTTCATGTCAAAGAGAAGACGTCATCCATCTTCTCTAAGCTCCCAAAATAGTTTTCAGTAGAACTTCGGCTGCATGATAACCCATGACAAATCACCAGGAGCAGAGAGGCCGATAATGACATCATCCCTGTGACCGTCCTCCAGTTTCATTTAAATGTAACTGCTGTAAATCATGACTCATCAGTATGTAAAGCACACACACAGAGCACAATAACCTTAGGACTGACCGGTATGCAAAACACACACACACACACACACAAACACACACACACACACACACACACACACACACACACACACACACACACACACACACACACACACACACACACACACACACACACACACACACACCTAATACACAGGCACACATTACATCCTACTGCAGCTCCTGAAAATGTAAAACTAATGCAAATCAGGGAAGAGGAAGAAACTGTTCACCTCGTTTCGGCATGAATGTCTGCTTTCTATCATCAGTGAAGAAAGTGTGTGTACATACAATACACTCGACTGTATGTGTGATGCTCTGTGTGCAGGTGTATGTATGTGTGTGTGTATATTTTTAGAAGGAATGACCTCAGCTTTTGAACAAGAGAGCTATTAATACCAGTTTGTCTCCAGCTGATCGACCAGTAGTACATGAGTTGTTAATCCATTCAAAACAGTATTGTCATATTTATAGACACGTAAAAAAGGAATTCACAAAGACATAAAAACATGTGAAGATATTATACAAACACATGTATCAAAGAAGTGAGCATGCTTGTCCTGTAAGGAAACTATTACAATATTCTTTATCATGGATGTGTTGTTAGAGACTTATAAAAACCTTTAGCTTTTTTTTATTCCTTGTAACCAGCCTTATCGCTTATCTGGCATTAAATTCCTGTCTTTTCCTTGTTTATACCACGCTGCCCATGTCCCATGAGTTTCTACAATACGGGAATAAAAACATTTCCTCGCCAATATGTCGGAAATTTCTAGGCTGGTGCTTTCAGCCATGGAGCAATTATTCTGCCCAACTCTACTTGTTTTGAGTGTTTTCCAGCATCTGAGCATGACTCCAGCAGAACAAAGCAGACTCTGATGTGATCCTAGAGTTTCATCTAAGAAATATTCCACTACTCCCTGCCATCAGAATGGAGCCATTCATTGACAAACAGGGTTTTACTCTATACACACAACATTACACACAAAATCATACACACATGCATGCTTCATCTTTCTCTCTCTCAGCAATCTAAAAGGCAATGAAGCATGGATGTGCCTGAAAAGATTGAATTCAGGTTTTAAACTGCGGTTTTCTGCTTCTATTACAGATTTAGTTTGTTGCTTCGGGTTTATTTTTGAGAAACAGTTGCATGATTATTAAAATCCATTTTCCAAAAACAACAATAATGTCAGCTGATCATCAGTGTGGTTAGATTGGAGTTTTATGTTCCATTCAAACACATGGAAAAAGTGGGAAAAAGTATTAACATTATTTTTTTCTTGTCTTTCATTCATGTTCCTTACTATAGTATGCAACACATTTCCTGGCCCCGTAGCAGCCTGGGGCTTTGAATCAAATCACTTTTAACTGGTCGGGTAGTCGTGTGAAAAGGGAATGAAGAAATGCAAATTTCAGCACTAGTATTTTCTTATTCCTTTTAACTGAAGCTCAAAAAGCATGTGGATCTGAGTTGAAAGCAACAGAAGCTGACTTTTTAATGCACCCGGTTATAATAAGAAGCCATCCTTGCAGCCCCTGCTCTTACTTGATTGCTTTCAGTCTCCGTGGCGGTTGACTCTGATTGGCTGATCCCTTAGTGACAGACAGGAAGTCCCGGACGCTCTCAGTCTTCACACCCAAGTTAGGGTTCAGTGGGATGAGGGCGGGGCTTATCAGACGCTCCTGCATGTCACACTTCACACACACTACACAGATGACAAATATTAAAAAAAAGTGTGAACAGACAGTTATTAGTGTAACATGCCATCTGTACTGTGCCATCTAGGGACACAAAACTTTTTAGTATGTTTTTTCCTGTCTTTAGTAGCAATTTTATATTTGTAATGTCTAATGAAACTGTAGTTTATGTCAAAGAAGATGTCAACTATCTTCTCTATCTCCCAAAAAAGTTTTCAGTAGAACTCTGGCTGCATGATAACTTTTATCTCTTTAGTATTTTTTTCCTGTCTTTAGTAGCAACTTTATATTTGTAATGTGTGTTGACACCACTGTTTGTCTTTGTACTGTAACTGTGTAGAAGTTAACTGTATATTCTCATAGTTTGCCACATTGTGTGTTGCATGGTTAATGTTCCATACTCAGAGTAGTTTTGTCATTATCAGTTGAAATCAAACACATACATGTTGCTAATCGCCAAGGTCTCAACTTCAGTTTAACTGGCTGTCTCTCTGTGTATGTTTGATTACAGGAGTGGAGTTAGGAGTGCAGGAGTCAGGCCCCCAGCTGACAGCCATCATCATTATCATCATCATCATCATCCGGCTCTGCTTCAAATACCTGGTTCTCTCCTTAGACTCTGTTTACCTAGTCAGTCAAGTGTGCAGCCTTCAGTATCTGCCTAGTTCCTGTTTCCTGTTCTCCTCTACCTACAGTTCCCCGGCCTGACTCCTGCCTGACTCCCTCTTGCCTCATCCACCATCTCAGTTGGATTTGTTCTGGTACTCCACCCTCTGAACATATCATCTCCCTGGCCTCCCTTAACTGGACCCTTCCAAGCACTGGTCAAGTTTCCACTCCGACTCCACCTGGTTACAACTCTGCTCTGGACTAGTCTCAGTCTGCCTCATACCCAAGACATACCCCTTTTCAAGCATGTTGTGAATAAATATAAGTAACCAGATCAAGTCTCCTGCCTGTATCTTTTGCTCTTGGGTTCTCAAGTAGCCTTGATGCTAAAAAGATATACAGGTGTGCTTGTGTGCAGTACCTGTACCTGGAATGGGATTATCCAGGGGGCTGGGCAGCAGGAGGTGGAGGTGCTCTCTGTCTCCTCCCTGCTCTTGAAGCCACGCCTTCAACACCATCTCTATGGTGAAAACACTGTTTTCTACCTGCTGCAGGTCCACCTCCGTTCCCAGCATTAGACAGTCTGAAGACAGACACACAGAGGCATTAATATTTGGATTCAAGAAATCAGAATCTGAAATTCATTATGGTAAAGCCCAAGATTTTGTTTCAAATAATGTTTTACACAGACATCAGAAATAATGTGCTACAGAAATGCACTGGGGAAACCTCAATTCTTCAGGCCACAGCACCTCATCAACATCACAAGGGATGTCCTCTCTAGCTAAACATTAGGGGAAGTACCATCTTCCCAGAGTCATTTGTGACAATTCTATTTCTTTTTAATTATCCTCTCGTCACTCCTTGTGCTATGTGTCCTCTTACTCCTTCACCTCGTCGTCATCCTCATCTTCCTTGTTTTCCTAGTCCTCGTCCTCCTCTTACTTGAACACATCTTTCTCCAACTCTCTCTCCAAAGTTGACCTCCATTGTTGTGCGCACCAAAGAGCAGCCTGAATCCTATTTTATATATAGTGTTTAAACTCTGATTTCTAAGTGATCTATCACTCTATCTAGTATGGTATTTTAATGGCAGTGGAAACAACATACACAGGCTTTTTTTTTTAATGATGTGTCTAATGGAGATAACTGTAGTTCTTTGCAAAAAGTGTGTTTTAGAATTTCAAACTTAGTGTAAAGCAGACAATGTGCTTATGATTTAGCATGCCTGGTCAACAGATAGATTACATGAATTAGTGGGTTCAATAATTCTACCACAAATACCAGTTTTTGAGTCTCTGTAATTGCAAAACACTGTAAATATATTCCGGGGGAAAGGCAACAATTTTCATCTTTGACCACTAGATGGAAGCAAAATTCAATAAACTTAATTAACAGCATGGCCTCAGTGACCACATACACTGAAGACCCTTTTAACTCATCTGAAGGCTTCAGTGTCTTTGGATTAACCAGAAACCTTCTTAAGCTTGACTGGATGAGTAGGCCTGCTGCTGATTTCCTGGAGGGAAGAAAGTCGGGCTGCAGTGGCTTTTTTAAAGCAGATGGGACAGGCAGAGAAAACGTAGCCTATCTACATGTTAATACCTCTCTTCTCTCATTTTCTGTACTTACAGTGACGCCTCATCCCAGAGGACAGAAAGCAGCCACAATGCTTTCTTCTCTTTGCCCACTGATATCCACTTATCATTACAGAAAAGACAAAAAGACCCTATGGACTTGCCCCACCTTCCTCTCCTGCTCTTTCTCTGTTGTCATCCCCCAATTTCCATTTATTATTGCAAACTAGACACAAACCTTACAGAGCGCCCCTCTTCTTCCTTCCCCTCTATCTGGTGTTTAATAGTTAATGACCCATCAGGAGATAACTAATGGGACTAAAGGGAGAGGAGCGGATCAGGAGGCACTGTAAGAATGAGGGAGGGTACAGATGGAGGAGAGGTTGACAGAAGGGGAGGGGGATAAGACCGAGAAAGCGCAGAGAAGATGGATGAAGAGTAGACAAAGTATTTAAACTCTCCCTGCCAGGAACTTTTTATGGAGAAAATGAGAAACTTTAAATTCCTAGAATAAGATATGTCATTGCTTCTTTCATCTGTCAGAGGCAGCTACAGTACGGAAGCTATTTCTGGGCCAAAGTTTCCAAAAGTGCTTCATCCAGAAATAAGTACTTCATCTGAGGGGAAAGAATTGTGTTTGCTGAGTTTTTTGCTGATGGACGCTTGTAGTCTGATCCCTGCTGAGTGAAGGCAAGAGGGATGAAGGAAGAGGGAGAAAGAGAGATGTTTAAGAGGGTAACAAAGCGTATACTAATGACACTTTAGCTTTACAAGTTCTCCGTTTATGTGTCTAAAAAGCACACTGTAAAGTCAAGCTTTCAATTCTGACGAAAACCACACTGCTCTTGCTCACTTAATATGGATTAAAGACCTGGTGGGCGAGTAAAATAAGACCTGCATCCTACTGAATATCAGCATTGCTACCTTACTGAGCAAAGACAGCATGACTACAGAGAAAACCTGTAAAGGTTAGAAAGAGAGAGACATGAGGGATCTTACAAAGACATGTACAGTCAAAGGAAGAGGATAGGGAAGAGGAAGAAGGGATGTGTGCTTGTCTTTATGGAAACGGTAATGCACAGATATAAGAGGAAAATCCTTGAGAGATGTACAGAGATGGAGGAAAAGGGGTTGAAGAAAATCAATTGCCATTCCCTCAGATAATGTCTGTCTGGGGAATAGGAATGGAAAGAGGAGGAGACAGAGTAAGTGAATGAGAGAGAGGGGGAGGTAGTAGAGAGAAAGAAATATGCAAGTTGGTGTAGACAGACAAGATGGGGAGAAAGTATAAATTACACAGAGAGCATGAGCAGGAGGAAGAAGGGGAGAGGACAGAGGAAGATGAGATAGAGAAGAGATGGATGGGTATGGTGGGTGAGGGAAGATGGACCACACTATTGGAAATGGTTGTAATTAGACCATGGAGTGTGTATCTGATTATGTTTGTGTGCGAGAGGGAGAGGGGGAGATAAGGAGAGCAAGGAAGAGAGAAAATGGGGTGTTTTGCTTCTCACAGAAGCATAAATAAGTCAAGACAGTCAATCTTCTCTGTGTGTGTGTGTGCGTGTGTGTGTGTGTGTGTGTGTGTGTGTGTGTGTTGTGTGGTGAAACTGTTTTCCACAAAGCAATACATTACTGACTGAGGATGATATGCGGGAGTAGTTAACCTCTGTGTGTGTGTTCAATGAGACAGCAAGGAGCTGTGTGTCTCTCCAGCAGGCTTATCTGACTTCATGAAGAATGTGTTTACACTGCTAAATCCTCCTACAGATGTCTCTCCATCTGAATCTTTACTGAGTTCATTAAGTATGTGTTTACTGTACGTAGGGAAGATTAAAAAGAAACAATTATGCGTTATCATTCGTCTCTCTGAACACTGTCTATCGTTCTCTTGGTCTAAAGCCAGAGCAATTGACCCATCCCTATGACCTACAGGGCTAATTGTGCTCCTGCATAACATTAGCATGCCCTCTGTGTGTACGTCTGTATATGTGAGACGATAAAGTGTGACACATGCTGAGGTAAGAATGCAGGTTGGTAGTCGAATCTCATTAAGGGTGTGTGTGTCTGTGTGCAGGGTGTGTGTTGCACATTTGCTCATGCATGCTGATGGTCACCAACTCTATAGCTATACTAGACCTAGACTATACGTTCCCCTGAATAAACAGTTCAGATGCTGCAAATAAAAAACCTTAACAAACCTTAAATTAAAATCTAGAATTAGAAAAACATATATATGTCTAATGTAGTACCATACATTTCATAAAGTGAGATCTTAACAATAGTTTCAATTTCAGAGAGAGTTGGACCATTAGTTAACAACTCCTGTATTTGCTCTATAAGAAATGATCAGTCTGCAGCTCCTCTCAGCTCTACAGAGATTTTTAGTGTCTTTCAGCTCACTGTGTTTGGTTTCACTGTTTTTGTTCACTCTCAGTTGTTCTCCATATTACTGTAACTTTTAAGTTTTTAGGATTTACAACTTGTCCTGCCCTTAAATTAAATCAATTACTGCTTTAAAAATGAATAAAGGGAGAGTTAGTAACACATGAACATATATTTGCATCAGAGTATGCCATACGGTAACACCCCAAAGTGGCTGTTAGTGTTGGGGAGACCCTGTGCCTTTTCAGTTACATCCTCTTTAACCACAAGGCCAAGCTGCCTCGAAGCCTCTACACCGCATCTGTTACAACAGTTAAGACAGTTTGGGTTTAAACTGCAGCAACTGAGTTGTTATTGCTGACTCATCACGTCCCTAGAGACACACTTCCTTTAGAGGATGGATGCTAATGCCTTGCCTGTTTACATTCACATTAGCATCTCTCTTCTTTCTCCACCTGTCTAATGATCGGAGAGTTCTTCCTGTGCAGATGACTCGTTTATGATTCCAGATGTTGAATGATGTTGATGCACAGCTCTTAAGACACAACAACCTTTTCAGTATTTTTGCTTTAGCTGACAGCTTAATGGTGCTGTGTGGCTGCTGAATCTCTGGCATTGATGCTTGCTGGAGTATAATTTAGAAAAGGTCATATTTGTGATTCACCTCCACACACATACACACTGAACTGATTAGATAAAATGTAATGACTTCAATTTCGATGTAATTTCCCTGGAGACATTGTTTTCTTTTTTGTGTGAAGTAAATGACTGATGAGTGTTTTCTGAGAAGGCTGGCTCATTTTGCCGGTAGGGTACAGCTGTCAATTTTAATTTGAAATTTGACTGTGTGATAAAAGACTATTTTACCTGTAACAATATTTTTGAATTCAAAACTTTGATTTTGAAAAAAAGACAGCCCCACAAGGAGAAATCTACCAGCTTGGCAATGGCCACCTTCATCTCTTAAAACCCATCGGTGTATCAGTGTGAAACTATTTGTTTCTGTCTCCACGACCATATAGGCTTGCTTTCTGTGACTGATCTAATTGGTCTAATTGACCAGCTTTGTGCCTGACCCTCAACTCCCTCTGTCCCACCCTGGCCCACGCCCAGTAATGGTTGCTTTTATTCTGTGCATTAGGAAGTGCACCATCGACCAATGTAACATTAGCTTGTGTGGGGAAATTAGTGACGCAGTGAGCTAATGCAGTACCAGAAGAGGAAGCAGAGTAGTACTCTACAACCCTGTTTTCACTCATTTATTTAGAAATTGATCAGCTTTACCTGATAAAGATAATGGACACTGTGCTCTGTAATCGTTGACATCTTCATTAAAGCTTCTAACGATCACTGATTCCAGGAGGATCATAGTAATGGTGAACTACTTTGAAAGTTCACTACATTAAAACATCAATAGTTTGGAATTCTTTGGTCTAATTTAATTAATGTTTTGAGTTCATGACTTGTTTACAATGATTGATTATTTGATCCAATTTAAGGCCTATTTAGCTATTTTAAGAACTTTATTTATAAAGAAAATGAGCTTCTTTGTCAGTGATACTTCAGTCAGTGTATACCTACAGGTTGAGCTCTTTCATGAAAGGATCATTCCAGTTTATTA